ATAGCGGCTAGTAATGCAGTTTGTTTTACCTTACATTTCTGTCGTTTGCAGAGGAGAGAGAAGGGAATGACCTCTCCCTGTATCTGGATTGATTCAGAGTAGACTGATAGCGAAGAACTCATGTATCCCGCTTCAGCTGACAGGATCCTCGTGGAAGGAGAGGTGCTGTACCGCGACAGGCAGAAGGTGAGATATGAACCAACTGTTTGTGCCCGTCCCTCACTCACCCGTGCCTGTTGTTATCATCTGGAGACAGACAGTGCGATGTAATTGTTCAGTTACACTTCTGTTAGTAGTACTAGTACCGTCTTATCCTACTCTCAGCAGCATGTGTGTTCACATAACGTTGTTGTCGATTTTCTCTCCTTTCTTTCCAACAAAATAGTGGCGGTCGCGATGGTGCTGCATGAAGAAAACAAATCCTGCTGGTAAGTGTCTTGCTACGCTCTCCTATCGCGCCCTGTACCCACACGTGCGAGGTCAGATGATTTTCAATAAGCCCGGGCTGGAGTCAATTACTTTCGCAATCTCTTTGCTGAGTGCGCCACAGGGAATCGTCCATGAAGGCATGACCCAATGGCCGGGTTTTGTTCCCAAGCATTCGTTCCTTTACTTTAGCGTGCCGCCGAAAACATTTCGTGAACAGATGGAGGATTTACTCGAGTTCCGAAGACCAGGACTGGTCCTTGTGCCCTGTGTCATACATGATTCTACCGATGGAGTAAATCGAGGGAGCGGGAAGTCTTTCCCTCAGATCTCCCCTGCATGTTACCCATTGTTCACCAGCCGGCGATTTTTGTTGAGCGTACCACTGACACTATTAATAATATTTTTGATTCACTTCTTTATACAATGTATAGATTTTGTACATTTGTAGAGCGATCGTACAATGGGGCGTGTTGGGGATAGGACGTTCAGGATTGAGGTCAAGTGACTTCCACTAGTCCGGTAGTACAGTCATGCTCTGTTCTGCTAGCATCCCAGCTACAGTACATGACCATGCTATTGTAATTTGGGTCGTCCGTAAATATGGGTACGGGGCTTGGTGAGAACCCTGCATTATGCGCATACCTCAGCAGATGTACTGTAAGGCTAGTAATGTTAACGAACATTTAATTCTAACGATTTAACGAATTTTAAAAAATACTTTAACATTTGATGTCGTTATGTACGAAACGATATGTGCCTGTACAGTCATTTGCCAGTTTTGAGACGGAATTCGTTAGAATTTCACCCCGCTAACGCACAAAAATCTGGAGATCGTTATCTTTAATTGACGTTGAAATATCAGGTCTTACAGTACATTGACAGGTGCTGGTGTGCCCATACTGTAGTGTATGCCAGCACGTTACCAGCTGGGCTTTTTTTTAGACCTGCCGTGAAATTAACACCCTGTCCATCATTTCACTTGGAATGCTAGTCATAGTTCTGTTCAGCTCTCCCGCACTTTGTCCAACTACGTTGTCACATACGCGTGCGCGCACGTACACACACACACACACACACACACGCATACCTACATACCCGCCCACATGGATGCATGCACAAATCACAGCAGCCATGCATGTTTGTGATGTGCTTCCGTAAAAGAACGGTTCAGCTCCGAGTCAGTGGAATGCACATGCCCGTCCAGGTTTGTGCGTGTGTGCATGGATATGACATGTAATGTATGCGTGTGCACATGCACACTCGATGTCATGCTTAGTGGGTAGCTTGTTCTTTTAATTCAGCAATGCATGTTGCACTGCGATTTTCAAATGTCGTAGGAATGCCCCACACCCAGCTGCTGATCTATGCGTCTAAGCCTGACACCAGCAGAGCATCTCCGCAAGAACGGCACTCGCTTGAGGATTTCTGTGGACTAGACTACGGCCGGCCGCTCGAGGGAGAAGCCAACGCGCTGACGGTGATAACTGCTCACATATCCTACACATTCGCCTTCAAAGTCTTGCTGGACCTAGAGCGCTGGACTCGTATACTGAAGCGGGAGCTTGGATCAGGTGAGCCGTACGCGGGGGGTCGTATTGCCGGAGGGTTGGCAACAACACTTCTCTGTGTTCACGGAGCTGCATGCAGTTTCGTAATGGCAATGACAGCGGAGGCAATGCCATTCAGTCGTCAGCTGCCAGTTGATCAGAGTGTTTGGCATGCAGTTACTTGGCAAGTTCAAAGGCTTGCTATCCACCATCGTATTCCGGGGGTACTGATCGGTGTGTTTCTTTCTCGGCCGTTTCTCTCTGTTGCCTACTGTGCATAGAATGGATGTTTGATGTAAAGGTGCTTCCAACCCAGAACAAAATCAAGGCAGGAGAGGCGACACTGCGTTTCTTCCCATCGTACTTCAGCTTAACGTCAGGCAACCCATGCGCCTGTCTCGGGTACTGGATGCACAATCAGCTACGGAGATACGGAGGCTCTTCTGGATTCTCCTTTGAGGCTGGCTCGAAGTGTTATGGTGAGGATGGCAGGAATTTCACACAAGCCAATTCTATATTGTATGATGTGCGTACACGCGCGCGTGTGCGTGCGTGTGTGTGTGTGTGTGTTGCCTAATTCCAATGTATGAGCTGCATCTGTACATTGATACTTGAGGGTGGTTGTGCCCCTGCAGGTGTGGAAATTCAGTCTGAATGTCTCATGCCAACCATAGAAGTTTTATATATTTGTCTACTGTAAATATACAAAATTTTGGCGCTGCAAAATTTCGGCACTTCACGATTTTTGACATTTCGGCGGCGATTTATTTTCGGCGTGGGGTAGAGGGCATGGTATAGTGCGACAGATGCTGTGAATTTTTTTATCGGCGTTTTAATTTCGGCGTTTCGGGTCGGTGCCGAATATAGCCGAAATTAAATAGCTGCCGAAAATTTGTATATTTACAGTATACTATAGTAAATTGTCATATTCTTGATCGGTCTGTTCTTGTTCTTGGCAATGTTTTCGGTTGGAAATCAGGTGGCGAAGGTGTGTATAGACTGGAGAGCAAGCATGGAGCTAAAATTAAGGACCTCTTTGACCGTGTGGCCAACAATCGTCCATTGCCAGACCCGCTAAAAATGTCAATGTCTTCAGCGCGTGAGCGCAGCAGCATGGGCAGTGACTCCGCACCGGAAACATCACCAGTGGGTCATCCGGCTGTACTCGTGTCGTCAAATGCCCGCAGCGTGCAGCGAGCCAGTGACTCTTCAGAGCTGTACACGTTACCGCCAACAATGGCCGCCGCCGCCGGTGGCAACAGCAGTCGAACTAGCAGCTCATCCATAGAACACCGCCAGTCGCCGATGACACCAAATAACTCCTACCAGCCAGTTCCCAGCGCTACATCTCCTGTGACGCCCGTCACGGCAGACCTGAACATGGACCGACCACCGATGGCTGTGCCATCAGCGTCACTGCAAACGGCACCGCAACCCGAAGGTCATTACGAGAACATGGGCGATGGCGGTAGCAACACCTACGCATACGTTCCCATTAAAATACAGCCGAGAAGCATACCAGACGCAGTAAGTGACCGTCCCAGTGTGCATGTGTGTGTGGTGTGTATGTGTGTGTGTGTGTGTGTGTGTGTGTGTGTGTGTGTGTGTGTGTGTGTGTGTGTGTGTGTGTGTGTGTGTGTGTGTGTGTGTGTGTGTGTGTGTGTGTGTGTGTGTGTGTGTGTGTGTGTGTGTGTGTGTGTGCCAGAAAAAGTCACTTCAAACAGCTGTGTGGTGGATACCAGGCTAAAAATAGTGGCGGTCAATTCATCAGCCTTGCAAGCTGTTGAATGGTGTAATAAAATAATCCCAGCACAAGTTACTATGTCTAACATAGCTGTTCGCTATCATCGCTTCCGCGATGGGCATGTCTGAGGTCTGAGGTGTGTGTGTGTGTGTGTGTGTGTGTGTGTGTGTGTGTGTGTGTGTGTGTGTGTGTGTGTGTGTGTGTGTGTGTGTGTGGTGTGTGTGTGTGTGTGTGTGTGTGTGTGTGTGTGTGTGTGTGTGTGTGTGTGTGTGTGTAAGTAGGGATTCACTGGCCATAAAAAGCCACTTCATAGCTGTGTGGTGTAGACCAGGCTGAATAGTGGCGGCCAATTCTTCAGCCTTGCAAGCTGTTGAATGGTGCAATCCCAGCACAAGTTGCTATGGCTTCTGCTGTAGCATCGCTATCATCGCCTCCGGTGATGGGCGTCCAATGGTCCAATGGTTGTGTGTGTGTGTGTGTGTGTGTGTGTGTGTGTGTGTGTGTGTGTGTGTGTGTGTGTGTGTGTGTGTGTGCGGGTGTGTGTGTGTAGTGTGTGTGTGTGTGTATGTGTGTGTGTATGTGTGTGTGGTGCGTGTGTGTGTGTGCGCGCGCGCACGCGCGTGTGTGTGTGTATGTGCTGCTGCTGCTGCTGCATGACTGGAATACCCAGCTCAAGTGAGCATGCCAATGTCATAAGTACAGTCCAAAGCGGTTAGTTAGTACCGGGTGTAGGATAAACTCATGATTGTGCAGTACGTACCTTTTGCAGTTGATGTAAAATTGGCACTGTTGATTGCAGCATGGGTGTAGTAATCACTTCCGCAAGGAAGTACATTTTCCGTGTTCCCTTGTGGGTACGTCTTATCAGGTTTTGACTGTAAGCGCGCCCAGCAAGCAGGTCAAAGGTCAGAAGGTAGTAGACAAAATAATGTAAGACCTGGACTTCTATCAAGGACGTATATCTATCGTTGCAATGACTCGAAGTTCAATCACTAGAATACTGTTCTCTGATACCGTAATACCTGGTATGAATTATGTGTGTATATATTTAAAA